TGCGCGAGGACCCAGGCCCCCACCTGCAGGCCCAGGGTCCCGGCAGCCAGGCCACGGGGCGACCACCCCGCAGGCCACACGCGTCTCACTGCTGCTTGCACTCCGCCGGCTGGCTGGGTTCTTTCTGTCAACAAAAGAGAAAACGAGACTTATAGAGAAAAAAGCCAACATCACTCACCAAGTGTCTAAGCAACAATGTAACCAAGATTCAATGGGTTCGTTCATTCTTACTAAAAAATGGTTACCACAAATAAACTTCTAACAACAAAGACAAAAAAACAAAGCTGATTTCCATCCCCCAAAAGTCACAGCACAGATGCCTTTCAGTTTAAAGGCACGCTTGTGGACAAATTCATTGTGGACAAATTCATGGTGCATTCAGCAGAAGAGCCTTGGGGACAAGGGGGGGCTCCTCGGAGTGACAGAGCTTTGACAGAGCTTAATGAGCCACGGAGGCCGCTCCCTGGAGGCTTGGGCAGCAGCCAACCCCTGCCTCCGCTCCCCAGGCTGACCTGGACTGAGCCCGTTGGTGCCGACAGGCGTGACCGCTCAAGTACACACCTGTCCCTGGGTAGGCAAAAACCGTGGTGTCAAGGAGAGGGCACATCTCTTCTGAACTTGCCCTTCTCACTGCCAGAAAGAATGCCCAGCAGGTTCACCCTCCGGCAGCCTGCACTGCACCCACAGAGGCCCAGAGGCCACTCCCAAGGGTACACAGTGGCCACCTACTCTCCTGACAGTCTCATCACGTGCAGATTCCATCCGTCCAGGTGTACAGACCGGCATCCCCTCCCATGGAGACCAACTTCAACTTGGAAACCACTCCTGAGACCTGGACCATGATCTCTCCATGACCACTGAGCCAGAGTAGTCTGTGACTTCTGGCTGCTAAGATTCCAGATCACAGATCATTCTGCACGAGACCAGGCACACTACAGAACCCAAGCCAAACCTGCACTATACACACGGCTCAAAAGAAGCACCCAGGTGAACGGATGGACGCCTTCCAAGGCATAAGTCATTTAGGGGATAAAAAAAAGGATCATAAAGGATGCATAAAAAACACCACGTGACTCTGGACTCCGGCCTAAATAAACTCTTTAAAGGGCATCTGTAGGGTGATGGGAAAACGGGCAGATGACAGAGGCTGGTAGACCCTCGGGGTCTATTTAAGTCCTACAGACATGATGTCACGTGACACCCAGTGCTTAAACTTCATCCCACTCCAGGCTGACATCCCAAATCTAAACTCCGAGGTGCCATGGAACCCAACGCTCCTTAAGCATTGACACGATGCTCAAAGGAAACGCTCACCAGAGGATTTGAGATGTGGGACACACACAGCCAGTAGATAGTGCAAAACTCCCAAATTACTCCTGGCCCCAAGCATGGTGGACAAGGGACACTCAGCCTGTGAGCGTGCAAGTTGCCCAGCGCGGAATACACGACACGAGGCGTCTTCTCCCTCAGGAGAACGCAGATGCTTCCACTCGCTGTACAAAAACCCAGGAGCCTGGCAAGGAAGCCGCTAGAGGCAAGGGCGTCTTCTCTAAGACGGGCGCCAGCAGGCGCATCACGAGACCGCGGCGCTCACGGGGAAGAGCGGCCCCTGTGCCAGGCTGAGAGGCGAGCACGGCACACTGGAGCGTGCGTCTCTGTGTGGGCAACAGGACTGAACTGTTTTCTCAGCGAGACACCGACTGTTCTGGGTCACAGCAGAGCTGCGACTGAGCTGGAGCGGCTTTGATTTTGCATCATAGACTTGGATGATAGTGCAGCCAGTAATCAAGGCTAGCCTGCTTGTCAAGGGAGGGGGAGTCGACATTCTGAAAGGCAGGCGACAAAGCAAAGCCTGGCCTCTGGTGGGCCACCCCTAAAGCAGGGCTGCAACAGGCCACCAGTTCCAGGAAAGGGAGCGCAGGCGTGCCACGAGCGCATGCGCAACCACATGAGCTGTGCCACCAGCAAGAGGCCCACGGGCTCCGAGCGCCCTGGCTGTAGCGAGCCGCTCTCCCCACTGGGTACAGGTGAGCACTGACCCGACAGCTGACCCCCCTGGGTCCTGGCAGCCACTGTGCCAGCCTCTCTCCAAAGAAGTGCGCTGAAGCACCACAGGCAACACGCGAGGGTCCGCATCAAAATAACGGACGGGTAGGGGCACAGGCGAACCCGAGTGTCTGACAGGCCCTTCAGACACACAGGGACATGAATTAGCAGTTGGACACACTGCACATGCACAGGCCAATGATCAGACTTGGCCCCTGAAGTCATTCTGAAGAGCAACAAAGGTGTCCATGACCCTAGGCTCGCTTCCACGCTTCTACCACGACACCTCAGACTCCTTGGCTTTCTATGAAAGCAGCCCACGCCAGAGCCGAGAGGGCAGTGTGTCGCCACCCTCCAAGGACGTGTAGTCCAGGGGCTGCCAAGGCCTTGCTGCCATCCCGGGGAACTGCCTTGCGAACTGGGTGTCTGCTTATTTCAACAGCGAGACCTGCGCAGCTGTAACACAACTGCCTGTTTCTCATGACACCTCCATCCCCACCTCTGCTCCTTCTCCCACTGCAGCCCTACACCTGGCGAGGCAATGGCAGTGCCCCGCAGGGAAGGGTCCCGGGATGAGCAAGAGCCTCTCTCCACAATGACCCACTGCCAGCCCGGGCCAGGACAGACTGGAGCTACGAGGACCAGTCCAGGGGGCGGGGGCGGATTCCTTCCTGATTCAGTCAGGGCTCTCTTACCAGCTCACGATGGCACTTTCTATCACAGATCCCAAAACAGACGCCAGTAACTTTTTAGCGACAAAATTCTGGCACATTAAAAGTCCAGTGACCCCTCTGTAGACTGCTGGTCTGCACAACGCCCGAATTCAGAAAGCGTCGGCGTCCCACAGATGGGCGCTGGGAAGGCTCACGTGCTGACTTCTGCTGCCAGTCTCGGCCTGCACAGGACCACCCAGTACAGCGGGGCGCAGCCAAGGGAGCCACGCGCCCACGAGGCCGTTTGCGTGCAGGGCTCCACACACCGCCCTGTGGGCTGCTCGCCTCCCAGGGCCCTCCTGCCTGTCCTGCTTCCAGAGAGCACCGGCAGCAAGGCCCCACACGCCAATGCCGCTCCAGGTGGCTGGCAACACCGGCTCAGAAGCAGGAGCCCAGGCAGGTCTGGCTGTCGGCCTTGAAAGCACCCTTCACAGCCTCCTGTCCAGAAATGGCTCTCCAGAAAGCCCTGGCACTCCTCTCACACACCAGTATGCCGGACGGCAGCCGGCTCTTTACACAAAGTCAACACAGTGCATAAAGTTGCATAAAGTACACATCAGAAGTTTGGAAGTTAGGTATGAACGGAATTCCACCTTACCTAGAAACGTATGAATGATTAACAGACAAAAATTACACCTAAATGGGGAAAAAAATTGAAAGGAACCGTCAGCATGAAAGAAAATGGAAGATGCACAAAATTATACAGGAGGAAACAGCCACAATTTCTCATGATACGAAAGGGCCGCAGGACACTGGGCTCGGGTAAGAGACTTCCCACCCCAGATCAGCCCTCTGGCCGGTCAGAGGCAGCACTCTCACTGAGCCTGGCCCGACGGAACCCCTCTCCTTCCTTGTGTCCTGCACTCGCACTGTTTCCAACACTGCCTGGCACCATGGAGAGGTGCGTGTGGAGGGAAGAGACAGCGGGCCCAGCCCCCCAGGCCACACGAGCTCCAGCACCCCTGCACTGCACGGCATCAGCCTTCCGCCCCAACCCGACAGCCTCCCGGAGGCGTCCGTGTGTGGCATTCACTACTCTATGTCACCTGTAATCGCATGGTGAGAGTGCTCTTGCAGAAAACTGGGCCGTGAGAGGAGACAGAAGGTTCCACAAGCAACAGGAGAAGCAGAACAAACGGGGGAAGACACCGAGGCACGGAGCACAGGAGAGCCATGAGACAGTGACAGACACGGAGGCCAGGTGCGCTGGAGTCTGAGGAAGGGGGCCCGCAGCACAGCCACGCCGCCAGTGTGTTCCCACAAACAAGCCCGGCCCTTGGGTCAACCCACCCAGCACTGTTTGCTGACTGACGGCCCTCACCTCCCTCCCCCGCCGTGCTCCCTGCAAAGCAGCGGCCCAGGCTTCGGCCTCTGCAGTCCTTCCCAGCCGTCACCACAGTGCCAGCACAGGGACCCTGTCGGCAGTCACCCCGGGGTCGGCAGGCCGGCCCCAAACAGGCCAGCGCCTCCGAGCGCTCATCCCCAGAGTGACACTCAACAGGCACATTCAAAGACTGTTCGCTCTTCTTGCAGCCTTCCCTGCAGGAGCCTCTCCAACGAGCATGCGTCCGCGAGAGAGCTGCTGCTTGTCAACGGACTACACACAGACGGCTTTCAGTGCATACAGCGCTCGGCAGAAGCCAGGGGAGAAACAAACAAAAACATCCAGTCAGACAAAGATACACAGCACAGAGACGCCAGGTGGTATCAGTATATTCTGACAGCCCGTGACACTGAATTCTAAGGCTACAAACATCAAGCTTAAGTACCTCGATTTAAGCTAATCTGAGACTAGAAGTAGCCCAAATTTACAGGTCAAACTAATGGGGCTGCCCACTAATTTTAAATCTGCTTTCTTTAGCAAACCTTGCCAATTCACTTTAGATTTTCTGGGATCTGTGAGACATCTAGACACATCTCTGCATGTCCTCAGCCCAAGTACAATTGTCAAATGATGTCACAACTCCATTCTTCTGTTCATCGGCAAAAACACCACCCCAGTCCCTTTTTGGCACCTTTTCCAAACACACACAGACGTTTATGCTGTCAGTTACATCCACTACCTTACCTCAAAATAATTCAAGACCTGGAAAGTACAGGGACTCTACTGAACAAGGCTATGTAAGTAAGACACAGCTTGAGAAAGAGTTGGGGAAGTATTTCTACTTAACCCTCGGATCATACACAAGGGGTCTGAACAGTCCTCTCTCTAGTATGTTTCTGGTACATTTTAAACTCCAGAGAATAATGAACACATATTCCTAACACCCTGCCTCAACGCGGGAACACTTCAAAGTCCAACAGTGCAGTACCACCCAGGTGTGAGCACCCCGATGAAACTGACCTTGGGGTTAATTTCCGCATCCTCCTCCTCTTCACCCTCCTCATCGCCTTCTAATTCCTGCATTAAAAGGCATGAGAGTCAGCTGGAAAGACAAGACTTGAACTCTTGGGGGATTCATGACCTATAAGCATGCGAAGGCAGCTCTTTGCTGTAGAAGGGAAGCAACCACTGCCGTCCACAGATCACAGTCCTTCCTTTGGATACTTAAAATTATTTCCGGGTATTTCCTCACTCTCACAGATAACCCTAAAACAAACATTCCCGTAAAATTAGATTCTGGATAATACATGACTATCTGCTGAGATACATTTTCCTAAACCAACTGGAGCTATGGATACGGTTGTAGCAGCTGCTATGTATTTTTGATTAGTGTTTTCTTTTTTGGTTGTAGTTTTAGAGTTGGAGTATCACTCTGGCGCTCAGACTGAAGTGAAGCGGCACGCTCCTGGCCACCGGAGCCTCGACCCGCTGGACTCCAGCAATCCTTCCGCCTCAGTCTTCCAAGTAGCCAGAACTACAGGCGCGCTCTACCACGCTTGGCTAATTTTTGATGTATTGTAGAGACATGGTCTCGCCAAGTTGCCCAGGCGGGTCTCGAACCCGCGGGCTCAGGCAATCTACTCGCCTCGGCCTGCCAAAGTGCTGGGATTACAGGCTGAGCCACCAAGCCCAGCCTGATTAGTGTTTACAAAGGGTGGACAGAGTCAAAGGCAGCTTCACAAGAATGGGTGTGACAGGGTCCTCTGAATGCATATCCTTCAAGCAGAAAAAGCCTAACAAAATCGAGCTTTAGGGAAACGACAATGTCTCGTATAACCTGTTTCTTACCTCCTCTTCTCCTTCTTCGCCTTCTTCAAACTGGAAAAAAAAGAGGAAAGCCACTTTCAGGTTGATGAACCATGACAGCAGTCCTTCTAGACCAGCCCCCTCCAGTCAGGCCTCAAAGAGCAGAAAGTTCAGGGGAGGAGCTGCCGAGAGCCCGCCAGGCACAGACAGTGTGGCCTGGGCTAGGCCTGGCTGAGAAGCCACTCGCTTGTGGGCACCACATTCCACCAGGATAGCAGGGAACTGAAAGCCACGTGGCACCATGGTTCTGCCCCACCTGTCTGCACACGGCTGGGCGGGCATATGGGAAGAGGTTTGCCAACAAGTGAGCTTATGTTCTAACATTCCACAAGCCTGGTCTCACCAGTGGCATAGCTTCATGGCACACAGGAGCTGGGTATCCTTTTATATCTCACACAAGGAGAAAGAGCAAACTTAACAGAAATATACGAAAACCTTCTTGAATCGCCAAAGCAAGTCTCCTTACTTTCTGACCCGTCTTGAACTCCAGAGAAGCCCGAGTACACCTTCCCGCCAGCACATGGCAGCCAGACTGGGACCTGGCCCAGGACGGCCCCTCACTCTAGTTGCCGCCACAGGCCTCAGCCAGGGAAGCCTTCCTCATGCTTTAGGTCGGACCTGAACCCGCCTCCAGAGGGCTCGAAGGGCAGCACATCAGCCGGGGGACGCTCTGCACGGGGCTGGTTCAGAGGCCTCTCCCGCATGGCCAGGGCAGCGGCCGCCACGGGCAGGACACAGAGCCAGGTGTTCGGCTTCACCACCTCCCCCAGCGGCTGTCCAGCGTTGGCGCAGGGCCTACAGACCCCCAGCACCAGCCAACAGTTGTCCCGCCAACACTCACGAAGTCACGCCTCTGCCAGGCACGATTCCGAGCGCGTGACAGGTCCCTCCCGAAAGAGACGGAGACGCTGCAGCGCAAGGGGCACCGCAGCTCTCCAGGCGGGAAGAGGATTTGCTGCTGTGGATCTGGGCTGGCGCGCCCAAACTCCGTGAGAACACTCACCGGCAGCCCCGCGCTGCCACCTCATGAGCAAGCTGCGGGCAGACGCCCTGCGAGGCTCCTCGCAGTGAACGCAGAGCAGGGTTTCTCAGGAAATAAGCATGCACGCGCCGTGGACTCAAGTCTTAAACTGCCAGGCGCATGGCCAGAACAGTGTGAAGCCACTGGCAGAGGTAAGCTTTCCAGCGTGTAGCCACCGGCCCTTAGCTACTTTAAATTTATTTATTTACTTATTTGTGAGCCGGAGTCTCTGTCACCCGCGCTGGAGTGCCGTGGCACGATCCATCACAGCCATGACGGCCTCGACCTGTTGGGCTCAGGGATTCTCCGGCCTCAGCCTTACAAGTGGCTATAACTACAGGCGTGCACCGCCACGCCTGGCTAATTTTTTAATTTATTATAAAGATGAGGCCTCGCCGAGTTGCCCGGGCTGGTCTCACAAACCCCTGGACTCAGGCAATCTTCTCACCTCCGCCTCCCAAAGTGCTAGGATGACAAGTGTGAGCCACCATGCCCCCAGCCTTACACTTTGTTTAAACATTCAGTTCCTGAGTCCCAACAGTCGCATTTCAAGTCCTCAAGTGGCAGATCTGGGCGGTCCTATTGCACTGGACCAAGCAGTAACAGGACAGCCCCACTGCTGAAGTTCTGCTGGAAAGCACCGGTCTATAATCAGTAACACTGAAGTGCCAGCAGATCCTCGAGTGTCCTGTTCCCTGACCCATAACCACCTCCCAGCCTAAGGGATGAGCAAGTTACATTTTAGAAATTAAAAGGACAGTCTAAGACGCCACAGTTGATACACAGCACACTGGTCCATTCTCCCCCATTAGGGGAATTCAGTACACTAGGTCCCCTACATACGAACTTTCAAGTTGGGAGCGCTCAAAGATGTGAACATGCATTCACAGACCCACTCATGTGAGTTGGTTCACGTGTCTGGCATACAGACAGCCAGACACATGCTGCACTGTACTACCACACTTTCCAAGGCATTCTAGCGAGATTTAAAAGGTTTTACTTTTTGCGTTTGCTTTTACATACTGCTTGTGGGAAAAGCAGCATAAACCTGTGGCAGCACAGTACTACACAGCTGCCTGAGCCAGTTGGGTATCCAGGATAACTGTGTGGGACCCACGAACACAGCTGACTTGCAAGAGCGCTCTCGGAATGGAGCGCATCCGCAGGCACAACAGAGAGGAGCCAGGAGAAGCAGGCCTTCGCTGCCTCGGGGGCTCTGGGCCTGGAACTGCTCAGGCCCCAGCGCCTCCTAAGAAGGGAAGTCTACCCCGGCCATGATGCCCAAGAGCTCCACAGGCAAAGGAATGCCACATAAGGCACAGTGCCAGCCACACACTACAGAACAAAACTATCTTCAACAGATCAAGAAGCCTCGGGTTGGCTGGCGTATCTAAGCAGCGTCTGGCCCTGGAAGGGCTGGCTTTCCTCAGGCCCAGAAGGGGCAGCTACATGGCAGCCCGGCTGCGCCCGTCCACAGCGCGGGTGGCTGCTTGTTTTGGCTGAGGAGCCACAGGCCACCACGAGCCCACTGCCAAGAACCGTGTGGCGTGGCCAGAACACCCCAGGCTTCACGGACTCACAGGGGACACGGTGGGCCCTGGGGCCTCGAGAGGACTCTGTGGAGGCAGTCTCTGGCAGGCCCCCAGGTTGCCGCCCGCAGACATTGCTGAGAGCCCCCCCCTCCCCCAGCCTACTCTCGCCCAAACACAGAGCAGCTTGGCCTACGCCTCAGCTCGTGCCTGCACCAAACGCGGAGGCCCCAGGGTCCCCCGGCCGCAGTGCCAGCTGCTCTGCGCGGACAGAGGTGAGCACCCGGGGCAGGTCCCCGCCCTGAGCCGCATACATTGTCGTCGTCCTCTATGGCCTCCCCAGTGAAGTACAGCACAGCCCGCGGGACTATCCGCTCACGGAAAAAGTGTCCGATCTCAAAGTCAGAGGCTAAGGTGAACTCGGAATCTTCGTCCTGAGAAGGAAAAACCCACCGTTAACTCAGTTTAAAGGGATAAACACCTTCTCCTGAACTCCCAAGCCTTCACCCAAACTCCACCCCTCACTTCGGTTTACTTGAGTTAAAACACCAAACTCCTGCACTGCTGAGTGACAGTCCTGACAAACTCAAAGCCACTTCTGACAGTGACACGCAGGAGCTCAAAAGGGCCCCTAAAGCAAATGGCAGGGAGGGGGGATGTGCGGGCCCATGGTGCCCACGCCTGCCCAGAGGCTTGGCCAGGCAGGGCAGCGGAGTCCCACACGCGCACAGCAAGCAGGACTAAAATTTAGGGTGAGGCCTGCTCCCGTGGCAGCCACGAGCACATGTGCACACGGTGCTCCAGCTCCGAGAGGTGATGATCTCACAGCAGTCCCAGAGTTTTAGGGAATTGGGATGTTTTTTAAAAAGGAGACAACTTTTTGAAATACAGACTTCAACAGGAAAGCAAGACTTAACAACATAAATCTTACCAGTGTTTCTCCATCCCCAGATGCTAGAAAAAGAAAAGACAAAACATATTTACATTTCGTCAACAACTAAAAAATCCTGAAGCCCCAGAGGAGGAAGCTCCACTGAAGGACAAAACGCAACACTTCTCACCTCAAAGCTTTTCACCAGCCCTCACGGACATGCTCACCCCCAGCCACTTCACACCGAAGCCAGCTGGGGGTCTCCATACCCTACTTCCTTTTTTTTTTTTAGTTGGAGTCTCACTCTGTCACCCAGGCTGGAGAGCAGTGGCATGCTCATGGCCGCTACAGCCTCGACCTGATGGGCTCAGGTGATCCTTCCACCTCAGCCTTCCAAGGAGTTGGAACCACAGGCACGCAGCACCATGCCTGGCTACTTCTTTGGATTTATTATAGAGACAAGGTCTCGCCATGTTGCTCAGGCTGGTCTCGAACACCTGAGCTCAGGCAATCCTCTCATCTCAGCCTCCCTAAGGGCTGGAGTTATATATAGGCGTAAGCCACACACCTGGCTCCCTTCTCCTCAATCGTGTGCTCTGGGCTGGCACCCCAGTGTACTGGCAACCCAGCTAGAGAAAGCTGAGCTGGAGAAAAACATTAAGCGATGTCTCCACAGGAACGGAAGAAGGGAGCGTCAGACGGTCCTGGGCAGTGGCTGTTCAGGACTTTCCAGAACGACAAGACTCAACTCCTGCCTTGCAAAACCGCCCGGTGGTACAGGGAGGAGGGATGGCCTTAAGCCCAAGGTCCCCAGGGGCCTGCATCTCAGCGACGTTTCTGCGTGTTTGGACAGGAGAGGGGGAGAGTGCCAGAATGCCCGTGGTGCCCCATGAAGAGGCACGGCTCCTCAGAGAACTCCACCCACCAATACACGTGGACTCTGGTGCTGACACTGAGCTCAGCATGACAGGAAAGACAGGGACTTGGAACCATCATCAATGAGGCTAGGCAACGTTCCGATGACCGGCGACTTCAGAAACATGGATGACGAGGCCCTGACAGGCACCAGGAGGCGGGTCTTTTCCTGCGCTTGCGTTGCCACCCAATCTCTCGCTTGCTGCTCCCTTCCCCACCAAGCAGCCAGGTGAGCAGCACCCGCGTCACCACTGAGACACAAGAGGGGGTGTGCAACCCCACCACCCATGGATGCCCGTCCCAAGCCTCCACAGGCCCAGAGGTTCTGACACGTGTTCAGGAACAGTGCGCTCCCTGGGGGACTCTGGCCCGGGCCACTGATCAGCACAAGTCCTCTGCGCACTCGGGCTCCTAGACTGGCTGTGTAGCTTTAAGGCCAGAGGGGCTTCGAGACCCCCCTGGGCAACTTGGTGATATCTCGTCTCTACAATAAATTTTAAAAAAGACTAGCCAGGTGTGGTAGAGCATGCCTGTAGTTCTGGCTACTTGGAAGACCGAGGCAGAAGGATCGCCGGAGCCCAGCAGGGCGAGGTTGCAGGGGCCGAGTGTGCCACTGCCCGCCAGCCTGAGTGACAGTGAGATTCCAACTCGGGGGAAAAAAAAGGCCAGAGGGAGCAGAACTGGCCATCTACTGTGTCCTTTGCTGCAAACAAGTCATGTAACCCCTCCCACTGCCCCCTCCCCACCCATCCTTAATGCTCTTACATAGCACGTGTCACTTGGTATTTCATTATGTCTGATTACTTTAAAATTTCACTGAGGTATAATTTACCTATCACAACATGTACCCAACTTAATATACAACTTACTAACTTAATACATTAGTCTTAGAATCATGCAACCATCACACCATAACTTTAGAACCCCCCCAAAAAAAATCACAAAAAAATTTCCTTGAGTTTGCTATCAACTCCATTTTCTTTTTTCTTTTTTGAGTTGGAGTCTCACTCTGTCGCCCAGTCTGGAGTGTAGGGGCACACTCACGGCCACCACAGCCTCGACCTGCTGGGCTCAGGCGATCCTTCTCCCTCACTCTTCCAAATAGCTGGAACTACAGGCACACACTACCATGCACGGCTAACTATTTTTTTTAAATTGTTATTGTACAAATGAGATCTTGCCAGGTTGCCCAGGCTGGTCTCAAACCTGTTGGCTCAGGCAATCCTCTTACCTCGACCTCCCACAGTGCTCGAATTATAGGTGAGAGCCACTGCACCCGGCCCAACTCCATTTTCTAAAAATTATTTTATAATCAGTTTTAAGAAAACTTCCTTGAAGCCATAAAACAAACGGAAATCACGTCCTTTGCAGCCACATGGATGGAGCTGGAGATCATCATCCCAGGCGAACTGACTCAGAGACAGAAAACCAAGCACCACGTGTTCTCACTCATCTGTGGGAGCTAAACAGTCACAAGGATGAAAAAACGGACACTGGGGACACTAACAGGGGAGTGGAGGGAGGGGCCAAGGTCCAGTAACTCCCCGTGGGACACAACGGTCACTATCTGGGGACCCAACCCCTACCACTAGCATGTCCATATAGGGAACATGCATGTGTACCCCGAATCTAAAATTAAACTTTTTTTAAAAACAGAAAACTTCCTCAAAGGCTAGGCGTGAGGGCTTACACCTGTAATCCCAGCACTCTGGGAAGCTAAGGCAGAAGGTTCGCTTGGGCCCCAGAGTCTGTGGCCAGCCAAAAGAGCTAAAGAATTAGCTGGGGAGAGCAGTGCACCCCGTAGTTCCAGCTACTTGGAAGGCTGAGGCGGAAGGATCGCCAGAGCCCAGCAGGTCGAGGCTGCGGCGGCCGGGAGCAGCCACTACACTCCAGCCCGGGCAACAGAGTGAGACTCCAACTCGAAAAAAGAAAAAAGGACACTTCTCACAAAGCCACTGAGTCCAGAAATCAAAGCCTCTCCACTTCATGGTGAGTGCATCCACACAGATAACATCTGTATATATGCCCAATGTAAATCTCCAGAAGGAATCTTCCCCAAAAAAGGAATTTATATAAAGATCTAAAATTACTGGCTGACAGCCACTGAAATAAAAAACAATGACTTGAGAAACAAGGCTGCCAAGTTCTCAGACCAAGCTGAAAGTTTCAGACTGGAGCAGGGTCATGCCCCAGGCACAAGCCCCCAGGTATGCACTTACTACCTGCAGCAGGGCTGGTGTCCTCCCCCAGGTGTGTTTCTGTTCACAGAGAAGGAAAGAGAACGCTTCCCCTCCTGGCCACAGTACAGCACCACGAGGTAGTCTGACCTCTACATTCTCTATGGTATCGTGCTAAGAGCTCCAAGGCCTTCACTTGTTTAAAATCAACGGCTCCACTGGTCGTTCAAAGGTCTCATCTTTATGTCTTAAGACAATAAAAATAATAAAATGAAGCTTCCAAGTTGTGATTCTACCCCTTCTTTCCAAAACAGAAATCCAAATACCTTTGCTTATCACAACGTATAAATTCCGAAAAAATTCTATCAAATTGCGCCCAAAACAAAACTGGGTAATGAGAAAAGGGGGACGGGCAGATGATCAAAGCACTGCAGTCACAACCAGTGCAAAACCTGCCACGAACACACAGTGAGCAGACACAGCAGCTCTCCAGGAGGGCTGGGGGCAGTCCCAGAGGTTCAAGACAGACACAGAGGGGCAGAGATGCTGGCTGGGGGAGACCAGGCGCCAGGTGAGGCGCAGCCCCGGTGCAGGCCCCTCTTCCGAGTTTCTCAAAACAGAGCTGCAAGTTTTTGCCTGGGCAGCAGCCAAGCGAGTCAGGGATCCTCCCTGTCCCGCAGAAGATGACAATCCTGTTCTTACGTCCCAGCGACACCCCTGCTCCCACACCTTGCCAGCGCACCTACACGGCGGCTGTTCCCCTACTGACGATGCTAACAACAGGACCCAGCTCCCCCAGAGGCCGCAGGAACCATCAGGTGGATGGAGTCAGTTCCCACAAGCACATCAGGAACATCAGCCCAGCGACTCGCCTTTCAGAGGGCTGAAGAAGTTGAAGAACGACTCGTTGGGCACCTGCTTGGTGACGGTTCTCACCGTGCCGCGACCCCTGTGCTTCTGCTTTTTCTTGATGGTTTTGACAGTAACATTCTTGCCTTTCTTCCAATCGACAGCGCACCTACAGGGACAAGACAACTGTCAGGAACACACTCCGTGAGAAGAATCAAGGACAAACGCAGACAGGAAGCAGATCACAGCCCTGCGCTAAGCCTGGACGAGTTCATAAAGCCAGTCTTCAACTGAGTACTACAAAGGCCTGTGGAGTTCACCTGAAGGTCAGGCACAAAAGAGCGGCCTGGTCACCTTTCATCCTGGATGTGACCACTGCCTCCAGCATCAGACTTCTGAGATAACAGCACCCTTTCCCCAAGGACTTGGTCACGTCTGCACGACACACAGGAACCTGTCACCTGCTGCCTCTGTGCCCAGAACACGCTGAGAGTCACCCAGCCAAGCCGACTTCTCTAGGCTGAGTAAGGGGACAAGACAAAGGAAGGAAATAGGTGGCCGCTGCAAATACTGATGGCTGTGCAGACCACACCAGCCGTAGGGATGCCTGTGAGGCTGAGCACCGCAGGCTTCCCAGCTACGGATCACCTGGGACACAGGTAACACCTGGCAGCATCTGAATGCCCCCGAGGACACGCTGGAAAAGGCCAGGCCTTCTTCTCACACAACGGCCTGGTCCTGAAAAATGATCTTTCTAAATTATTCCAGTCATTCTTGTATAGAAGGATTTTTAATCAAGTCCTGAATTATTTTTATTTTTTTTAAGATAGGGTCTTGCTCTGTTGCCCAGGCTGGAGTGCAGCGGCATGACCATAGCTCACTATGGTCAAACCCTTGGGCTCAAGTGATCCTCTGGTTCAACCCCTCAAATAGCTGGGACTAAAGGCGTGCACCACCACACCTGGATAACTTTTTTTTTGGTAGGGTCTTACTATATTGTGCAGGCTGATCTCAAACTCCAAGGCTCCCAAAGTACTGGGATTATAGACATGAGGCACTTGGCCAGGAGAAATTAATCCCAAACCACATTCTCCTTGGTGATCTACAGCAGTTGAAACAGATATGAGACAAACGGCAGCTATGTTGCTCCTGCCAATTCCCAAAGTATCCACTGATCACGACTGCCCTGCACAGACTCATTCATTCAATAAATACTTATTTGCTGTGGGTAACTGATCAGATCAATTGTAAGAACTGCGATTTATGGTATGGAGATAACCCAATGTTCTCAGTAAGATGAGGGACCCGGGCTTTTGCGGCCCCATGAGTGCATATCCAAGCTCTGTGCTCCACTATCCTCAGGCTGAAACTCATTTCAGTACCAGTCTACGGGCTTTTAAGCACTTTGCTCCTAGCTCCCTTACCCACGACACTCTAAAAGCAGCTTCTGCTTTCGCTGCAAAAGCAGAAGTCGGAACAGCACTCCTTACCCATCACAGTCAACGATCTCGGGGCCTTCGAAGGAGAAGGGATCCGCCTTGTCTGGCTCCGACTTCATCTTGTAGGTTTTGGTCAGGACGGAGTTGGTGAAGTAGTCATTGGGCTCAAAGTGGAACTCTAACACAAAAGACTGAAAGCAGAAACTCCAGTGAGCACCACTCAAAACCTAAAAAGAACTAGCAACATATTATAAACCGCGTCGTACTTACTGGAATTCACCTCCCTCTAAGCCTGACACCACAGGCAGAAATCACTACTGTAAAGCTCAGCAGGTAAGACCATGTAACAGGAAAAACTTGCCAGGTATGGTGGCTCATGCCTCTAATCCCAGCACTTTGAGAGGCTGAGGCAGGAGGACCACTTGAGCCCAGGAGTTCTAGACCAGCTTGGGTCACATAGTAAGATCTCAACTCTACAAAAAATTGCCAGGCATGGTAGCGCGCGCCTGTAGCCCCAGCTATTCAGAAGGCTGAGGTAGAAGGATCTCCTGAGCCCAGGAAGTCGAGGCCGCAGTGAGCTGTGCCTGGGTGCCACTGTACTTCAGCCTGGGCGACAGAGTAAGCCTCCAACTCCAAACAAAAAGAAAAAGAAAAAAAAACTACTTTATAGCAAAAAGACCAGCACGAAGTTAAATAAACGATCGACTGGGAAAAGCATCTGTTTGGTCCACGAATGGGGCGTGCTCCCCTCTGATGTCTCCTCCCAACAGGGAATCTGGCTCTCCTGGGAAATGCTAGCTTCTCTCTGCTGCTCCCAGCCCCTCACTGCCCAGAAGGAGGGAGTGGGGACCATGGGAGTAGGGGTTACCAGCAGCCCAGCCCCTCCTCTCCCTTCTCCTAGTAGCCTTGCCCCCACACTTCTGGCAAAGCCCAGGTCCATAGGCTGTGCCCTTCAGCGAAAGCAGTGACCCTTGGGGAGGGGGATGCGTGGGAGAAAAGGACAAATCCCCCAAGGACACAAGCGCAGCATCGACTGGCAAGCAGTCAACGGACACAGACCGGAGAGAGGTGAGCACGGCAGGAGAGGATGTGGGCAAGCAGCAGCACACTCAGTCAGCCACCAGCAGCAAAGGACCTCACACTCACTGTAACAGACCACGGAAACCAAGAGGAGACGCCCTTCTCCAGGGGCAAAGTGTAGAGATGTCGTTCTGGCCAGCACTGCAGAGTGTTGCACACACTCATATACAGTAAAGAGTCTCAGGAGAGACAATCTGGCCACATCAAAAAACTAGTAAGATGAAGTACACCCAACTCAATCGCTCCATTGAGGAACTTGTCCCACTTGAGGAAAATCATCCAGGTGGACTCACCAATGTGCAAAGACCTATTTATACAGGAAGCAGAAGGCAAGCTTGGTGAAGCAATGCACAGAGACTGCCCCAAGACCCACGCTGGCTCAGACGGCTGTGTCCACAGCCCGCCTCAGCCCCAGTGCCGTGTGATGCCAGGAAGCTGCCCAGGCTCTCTGCGCTCTAGTGCCCCCACCTGCACATTGGGAAGGACACTCTGGGTCTCTGCCAGCAGCCCTGAGGGTTGGTCAGTTCACAGAAGCACTTGGAACAGAGCCAGGTTGCAGACAAAGCCTGCTAATGTCAGCTCTTTCCATGTTATCTTGATAAAACCATCCAACGGGGGGGGGGGGGAATTAAAAACACTACAAAATATACACAGCAGGCCAATGCCAGACCATCACCGACATTGCCTTGCTAGACTCTGGTGTGGTCGCATGCTCTGTGAGCTAAGGCTATTGCCATGCTTCCTGGCTTTGGCCTTCTCCCCTACCTTGAGAGAGGCCAATCGAATCTCCTCTCTCTCTCTCTAATTCACTTTCTAAATAAACTTATTGTCTAATCTAAAAAAAAGGTACATAGCAAAGATGTGATGTGTATACATTTCAACGAACCACTTCCACAAAGGAGGGCATGAAGTAAAAACTCTCCAAGAAGGTGGAGGGAGAGGGCCACGAGGGTTTGGGAGTCAGGAGACCATCCAAGTAGGCTCAAGAAATGACCCGGCCAGGAGCCCCTCCAGGACCTCCGCCAGTGAGCGGCAGGGCAGCACACTATGTCAAGAAAAGGCCAACCACAAGGTGAGTCACCTGTCTCCAAAAGTGACAAGGCAGGGACCCTCAGAGCAGCCAAGGACATCCTCGTCTCTTAAGCTTTCCAGGGCTTAAACGCACGACGGAGAGCTGAAAGGCAGGCAACTGTCAGCACAGAGCACGCTCCACCCCAGAGCCAGAGGCTGTGCCCACATGCGGACACCATCGACCGGTGGTGCTGTCGTGCAGCAGTCTTTTCTCTTGCCCTGTGTGTGGACGGTTCCTTTTCTTCTATCTCTTACGAGTTCCTCCCACTACCATTTTCACTCAATCGGCCTCCTTCTTGCTTTTCCCTCCCCTCTGCCTGCGCTGACTCAAAAGTAGCCCAAACACAGCTGGAGGTGAATTAAAGCAGCAGCTCCAACTGCCCAGCAGGACAGCGGCCGAGAGCGAAGGCTGCCGGCTCCCACACACGCTGCCGCCAAGCGAGCCTCGGACGCCCAGGAACGCCCGCTCTCGCTGGCAACCACAGAAACGAAAGATTAGATCTTCTCTTTTTTCGCCTGGCAGAACAAACACGCGATGTTATTTTTGCCAATACTCATGTGGAGACAAGCTCGTGGGTCCCCACCAAGTGCTGCCCACGTTGTCAAAAGTTGCTGAGTGCGAGTCTGGGTGCAGGACTGGCGGGGTCCTGCTGCTGCAACTCTGCTCTAAGCTTGAAATTATTTCAAAATATAAAAATGAGGGGACAAAAATGTTACTTTTTGGGAAAAAGTATAAAAAATTACTACTGGCAGAAATGTAAACTGAACCTTTGGGCCTTCTGAAGCTTCAATTTATTTGCCCCAGTAATTACACAGAAAGGAATCTCAGCAGAAGGAACCTCAGCAATTTAACAGGAACGTGGGGTCAAGTATGCCGAGCATAATGCAACAATTTAGAGTGGAGGAGGGGGTGGCAAGGCTGGGGATGGCAAACAAAGCCCTCCACACATAGCACCACAGTAACAGCCACTGCCAGCCAAGCCTGGCGGATAGGAAGGAGTTGTGCAGCGTGTCCAGGCAGGCACACACAGGAGAGGAGGGCATGCAGGATGGGCAGGGCACTGCAAACACTGGCCAGGCCTCACTAGGAGGCCAGATGGTCTCAACTCTATCACTTTGGAGCCTTAAATATTTCATGGTGATTTTTAAGTCAGCGTCTCACTCTGCCACCCAGGCTCGAGTGCAGTGGCACAATCATGGCCACTGCATCCTCACCTGCTGGACTCAGGCCATCCTTCCTTCTCAGCTTCCCAGGTATCTGGGCCTACAGACACATACCACCACACCCGGCTAACTTTTTGATTTACTGTAGAGACGAGGTCTCACGAAGTTGCCCAGGCTGGTCTTGAACTCCTGGGCTCAGATAATCCTCTTGCCTCCACCTCCCAAAATGCTGGGATGACAGGCGTGCACACCCCACGCCTGGTCCATTGTAATTTTAAACAGGAGAAGGAGTATATGGAAACCCACTAAACTGCTGAGAGTCACTCTCAGAGCTGGAGACCGTAGCTTGTACTCTGCACTTGCTGCCTGGCCTCAACTTCCTGCAGTAAGCATACATGGCTTCCACCATGCGGGAAGCAGACAGAAAAAACATGACTGTCCCAGTTTACACAACTTGTGCTGTAGTCACTATGCAATGGAGGAAAACAAGATGGCAGGCTGAGAAAAAAAGAAAACGGACCTAGAAGTCATCGCACAGGTGGTCCAGTACATGTAAAGGAAGGGAAAAAGGAACTGACCCAAAGGGGGAAAGGAGGAAGGTAGTAAACTGAGTCTGGACGAATCACGCGTCAGAAGAAATGTGAGGGGAAACACACAGAACCTCAAAACACTGCAGACACACTACAGGGAGAATTCACACCAATCACAGCACACTGCCCAGGAAGCCGCCAGGGGGCGCCGTGGTGAGGCCTATCCCAGGTATGGGCGCCACTGGCGGGAGGGTCTGCTATGACCATGAGGAGCAGAGAAGGGAGCGCCCTGGAAGACAGGGCCTTACCCAGAAGCGGGCTTCAAGCTTCGCTCCCAATGCCCCACCCGAACTGCACAAGGACAGCTGAGTGTTACCACCCAGAGTGGAACCCAGACAGGAAAAAGTCAAGGGACAGAGCCAGCCCCCTCTCCCAGGCATGCCTGCCAGGCGTGGGACAGAGAAAGCCCACTCACACCAGCCCTCAGACATAAGCTGGGCCAGGGTTCCCAGATGGGGCGGGAGGGCATGACTGGTGACCGTCCCAGGTCTCTCTGCCCCCACGACCCCTAACCCACCTGCACAGCATTTGTCTCCAAGGCCTGAGACTGAAAGCCATCTGTCAGTCAGTCATGTGTCACTGGAAGTGCTGTTGCACTGGAATGGAACCCGTTAGCTACAGCCAGGTTAACAGGTTACGAACAGTGCTCCCTGGGAGGGCCGGGCCTGGCCCGCTCAAGAGCACCACAGCTCTTCAGGTCAAAGTCAGGGCCGAGCTGGGCTCGGTGGCACAGCCTGTAATCCCGTGCCTTTGGGAGGCTGAGGTGAGTGGATTGCCTGAGCCCGCGGGTTCGAGACCCGCCTGGGCAGGCGAGACCTCATCTCTATAATAAATCAAAAAAAATTAGCCAGGCGTGGTAGTGCACGCCTGTAATTCGAGCTACTCGGAAGGCTGAGGCGGAAGGATCGCCAGAGCCTGGCAGGTCGAGGCTGCGGTGGCCGGGAGCGGCCACTACACTCCAATCTGGGCGACAGAGTGAGACTCCGACTCAAAAAAAAAAAAAAGTCAGGGCCGGCTGGCAGGCTGACCCACACCACGAACGCTTCTGGCGCAATGGTCTGTGGCAGCAAGCACCTTGGCAAGCCGATTCAGGACTTATCAAAGCGCAGGACAGCGTCCAGCCCTGCCAGCAATGACTCTTTCGGGAGAGCCTTTTGGTGCCTCCACTTAGGGCCGTGGATTTCTGAAGGGGTGCTGCTCCCATGTGTGCATATACCGCCCCTCCTCCTCAACTTCACGGATGCAGAGGAGACACATGTCAGCCTGAGGGACACGGACAGAGGAAGCAAGCCTGAGGCCTGGTGCCGTGGACACCACCACAGCCCAGGAGGCACCACCCACCTGACACCTGCGTGTGTCGCCACTCTGGTCCACAGCCATGGGGCACCCCACGGTCTGTGTTATTTGCCCCATCATTCAGCTCGACCACAGTGCCGGACAAGGTACAGAGAGGCGTGACATGATCCAGCCCTCAGGTGGGAGTCTCTCCCACCCCACCCCACCCCCGGGGAAAGAGCCTTGCTCAGCACCGCCCAGCAAGGGAGTGGCAGGTGTAGGTTTCTCGCCCCTGCTCCAAGTCCTTCGCCTTTGCGGCCTGGCCCATCCCACGCCGACCAAGAGTGCCAAGCCAGTACTCACCATAGGCTGTCCAGGGTCGGAAAACTTCACTTTAATATCCTGCAGGTGTTTCAAGATCGGTTCATCATATTCCTAATCAAAAAGAGAAAATAATTCCAATGGGCTTTTTAAAAACAACACATGTTGCTCCCAGGCGGCACGTCATCAGCCCTCCTGGAATCCTGTCCTTGTCAAGCACAACTTTCAGGAAGCAACCCACACTTGTGCACCGAACCCAGGTTGTAGAGAAGCAGCAGCAAGGTGCCAACCTTCCCTGGCATGCAGCAACAGTGGCCGTCACTGTTAGCGAAAGGCAGCACATCCGACACCTGCCTGCCTTCAATGCTGCTTTCCTGCCACCAGCTATCACTGCACACAGAGATCAAAAATGCTGCCAACTGAGACTGTTGGTCCTTAGCATCTCCGAGAGAAGCAGGGGTCTAGAAATCAGAAGACAGGGTCAGACCAACCAAGGCCTTGGCAGCTAAGTTTCCCGCCTGCAGCAGTAAACAGTCATGTGTCGCTAACAACAGGGACACAGGCTGAGAGATGCGTGGGGAGGGGATATCGCTGGTGTATGAACATCACCGAGCATACGCACACTGACCTGACAGCGTGGCCTGCTGCACACCCACACTGTGGGAACGCCTTCTGCTTGGCTACAAGCCTGCGCAGCATGGGACTGTGCTGAGTACTCTAGGCAGTGGCAATGGCTATTATTGTGTATATAAACATAAAAAACGTACGCTAAAAATATGCCATTATAGTCTCACGGGACTGCTGTGCTACAAGTGGCCTGCTGTTGACAGACATGTACTATGCAGTGTCTGGCTGGATCCCAAGTCCACAACACAGTTGCTTTATCCAGAACACTTACAACCCATGTCCCAAGACCCAGCTGACAGGCACCACAGAAAGGCTAACAATTCTTGTAGATGGCTGGATGATTTTACCAGTGATCATTCTCTCGACTCAGAGTCTGGCAAGACCTGTCAGTATAGCTTGCTAGAGTGAGAACAATCAGAAGAAGAGCCCTAAGAGCTGAACTCTATAACCACACACCAGCGAGGGGCGCTTTGCTTGACACACGGGAGTCACTTCTTGACTCCTGGATCTGGGGACTGAACCTTAGGAGTTCTTGAGGTCCCATTACATTTTTAAAACCACTTCCCCCTTCTCAGTTGACATGTAATAACTGCACATATTTACGGCAATACAGTGATATTCCACAATATGCATGCAACATGTAACAACTAAATCAGAACAATATACCACGCACTGTGAACATTCAAACCTCCTCTTCTAGATCCCTGCAGACACAGAGTGGCTGTTAACCAAGTGCCACAGGACACTAGAACGTGTTCTTCCCCCTCCCGCTGACAACTCTCTCTCTTGCAGTGAGTTCAGTGTGTGTCAGCCCCAGGCACGTGGCATTTATCTTTACACCAAGTAAGCCCCAATTCCTAATTACTTTGACATCACAGACCAAAACAAGAAGAGCAGCAACAAGGAGCCACCCAGCAAATCTGAAGAAAGACTGACTGCACGACAGCTCTGAAACAGGCTGCGCCAGCAAGCACCCTCTCACCCCACGGCCAGGCCCAGTACCACACGCTGCAGCCCCTGCCCGCTCTCCGTGGCCAGACGGCATCTTCGCCAGTATGTACCTTGGCTGGCACCGGAACCTCAAACTCACCCCACTCTGGGCAGCAGTGCCCGCTATTTCCCCAAACTTAAGGCGAGGCTCTGAAATTCCTCAGCCCGCCACAGACCCTGAGCCATTTCATGGCTCCCAAAGCAAAATGCAATGCCCCCATTGACAGACACTCAAAACCCAGGACCACACGACACAGCAGTGGAAGCATCCAGGAACTCAGATCATAAAGCAACTCCCACAATGTCCAAAGCACCACTTTCAGGAATATATCCCGACTCTCTCCAAACACAGAACAAAAGACCCAGAGGAAATCCATCTTTGGGACTGCACATCTGACCTCCACAAGCGGAGGACAGTGGCACTGTGCACGCCTGTAGTCCTTGCTACGCGGAGGCTGAGTCCAGGAGTTTGAGGTTGCAGTGCACTAAGACTGCCTGTGAATAGTTTTACACGCCAGCCTGGACAACACAGTGAGACTCTGCCTCCCTCCCTCCCTCCCCCGTTTTGTTTTTTTTGAATTGGAGTCTCACTCTGTCACCCACTGGCATAATCATAGCTCACTGCGCCTCCAACTATGGGGCTCAGATAATCCTTCCGCCTCAGCCTCCCAAATAACTAGGACTACAGGTACCCACCACCTGTAGCAATTTTTTTGACTTTTTATACAGACAAGGTCTCAGACTTGCCCAGGAGAGTCTCAAGCAATCCTCCCACCGTGGTCTCCCAAAGTGCTGGGATGATAGGCATGAGCCACCGATCCTGTCTCTTAAAAAGAAAAAAAAAGGCGTTGGGGGAGAAGGACTTCCCTCACAGAAGGGACTGCAGCAGCAGGACACTGTGGCGGGAGGAGAGCGGGTAAGCGTACCTGATCCCAAGCCAGGAGAAGTGAGGATCAACGGGAGATCCACACTTCACCTGGACGATGACCACTTGTGTACCTGACCCTGAACTGCCCCACATCTTGGAAAAAAAGGCACAGACGACCTCAAAACCAGACATTAAAAAGAAAAAAGACCCTGAACGGTACCTGATATCTTTAAAAAAAAAAAAAAAAAAAATATAATATATATATATATATATATATGTTTTTTTCTGCTACCCTCACCTGCTATCAGGTGACAAGCAGCACGATTAACATTTTATCACTCTCTGCATAGTACATGAGTACTCTGTAAATCCCAACATATCTTTTCATAGCTTTTAAAACAGAAAGTAGCAAGACACTTCACAGCTTAAATACCGAAGCACTAGCCAGGCATGGTGACTCATGCCTGTCATCCCAGCACATTGGGAGGCACAGGCAAGAGGACTGCCTGAGCCCGGGGGTTCGGGACCAGCCCGGGAAACTTGGCGAGACCTCATCTCTACAATAAATCAAAAACCTAGCCAGGCATGGCGGTGCATGCCTGTAGTTTCACCTACTTGGAAGGCTGAGGCGGAAGGATCACCAGAGCCCAGCCGGTCCACACTGGGGTGGTTGGAGCATGTCACTGCACTCCAGCCCAAGCTGCCCCAGGTGATTGTAGTAAGCAGTCAGAGCGTGAACAAGGGTCAGGTAGACACGATTCAGTTTTCCAATGAAATTGTGGCTCACAGCACTTGTTTAAAAGTGTGGTCTAGTCTTCTTAAATCCCGCCTTTTCATGTGAAAAGGAAGCTCAGATCAGGAAAGCCGAGGCCACCCTGCTTTCGCTGTTCCCTGGTCTGGAAGGAGAAGGAAACATGTCAGCCTTGACATCTCAAACTCCGACTCCAGACAAAGGGCAAGCAGCACACAAGGGAGGCAGCAGGGGCAGCAACACGGCCCGTCTCGGAGAACGAGTAAAACTGCATTTGCAGAGTCCATGCAGACGACGATACATCTATCTGCAAGGGACAGCTGCTGTGCTGTGACTGGAAAAGCACCATGCTGACAGAGGGACACAGGCACAGAGCTCAGAGCTCTCCCCAGGAAGTGTGAATGCTGTCATGCAGTCCCCCGGGGACTCCGGAGCAGAGAAAACCCAGACAGCAAGCCAGTCAATAAGACTCGGGGCAGGACATGCTTCTGTATTCCACAAAATCAGGCAACCATCTCAGAGAAAATTAAACATGTTATCTTTTAATTGCTCTACCACTCCAATACAGAAAGGATGACAAGGGAAAGGAAAGACAAAAACAGAAAGGTTGGCTATTTCCTTTTTTTATTTGTTTTGGTAGTGACGAGGTCTCACTATGCTGTCCAGGCTGGTCTCAAACTCCTGGGCTCAAGTGATCCTCCCGCCTCGGCCTCCCAAAGTGCTGGGATGACAGGCATGAGCCATCACACATGCCTCCTTTTTTAAAGACACTTTTTCAAGGGAAATACTCAGAAGACATTAGCAAATTGGTATACTTTTATGCACATCTCCAATTTCAGAACTGCACTGAGTAATGTAACCACGTGTACACAGATGTGCGCACACACACAAGACACACAGCTCATCCCTTCACAACAACACCACTTCTATGATGGATCAGGGTCGGCACTACGAAGATGGGCCGGTCCTGTCCACAGGCCCTCTGATGGGGAGCGAGACCTTCCCACGAGGTGAACCGCCCACAGGCACCAGAGAACAGGGCCGGAGTTCCGGCTCAAGCTGAGGGGCTGCTTTTGCCCTGAGATCCGCAGGACAGAACACCGGTACCACCCAAGAGCACACCTTCGCTCAGCCATCAGGCTGCTCGCCTGAGGTGCCACGATGAACAACCTCAATGCCAAGCTAAACAGTGCTTAAAAACACCACGAGCTGGGTGCAGCTGCTCACGCCTGTTATCCCAGCACTTGGTGAGGCCAAGGCAGGAGGACTGCTTGAGGCCAGGAGTTCAAGATCAGCCTAAGCAAGATAGCCAGACCTCGTCTCTACAGAAACCTAAAAAATCAGCCAGCTCTAGTGGTATATGCCTACAGTCTCAGCTAGTTGGGAGGACCGCCTGAGTACACGAGGTCGAGGCTGCAGTGAGCCACTGATTGTGCCACTACACTCCAGCCTGGGCGACAGAGTGAGATCCGGCCCGAACAACAAAGAAGCAACGGTAGCTCATCTCAGAAGACTGCCACAAGAACCCCCCACCAGGCAGTACTCTGCTTACCTGGACTAACTCACTCAGCATGTCCACATTTCTAAAGATGGTAAACCAGAACTCTGGGATTCCTCTGGGGCTGGGTTCTTCGGCAGCAGCTGCTGCTTCTTCTGCTATAACTGCTTTATCTTTCACGTCTCCCTAAAAAAAATAAAATGCAAAATAGAATACTTATCACAAACATACAAATTTACAAATAATTCAATAGCTGAATACAGAATGTGATTTCAGAATCTTGCACAAACTTCGATCAAAAACACTTCTTTCAGCTGGGCGTGGTGGCTCACACCTGTCATCCCAGCACTTTGGAGGTGGAGGCAAGAGGATTGTCTGGAGCATGGGTTCGAGACCAGCCTGGGCAACTTGGTAAGACCTGGTCTCTACAATAAATCAAAAAATTGGTCGGGCATGATGGCACACGCTTGTGGTTCCAGCTGCTTGGAAGGCTGAGGCAGAAGGATCCCCTGAGCCCAGCAGGTCGAGGCTGCGGTGGCCATGAGCGCACCACTGCACTCCAGCCTAGATAACAGTGAGACGCTGACTCAAAAAAGAAAATGGACCAAAAAATCACTTCTTTCCCAGTCTGCATCTCCAAAACCACTGTGCACGCGATGCTTCAAATGTCTGACAGAAAAAACAGCCAAATCTCCCCATCCAGATGGAATGCCATGGCATGACTTCACACCAAAGGGGGGGAATGAAAGAGATGGCCAAATGCCACCAGCCGTGGGAAAGGCTGTCAGCGCGGGCTCTGTGGGCATCATCTTGAGACACTCCCCGTTACGGTACAGACTGGAAGGTGGTACACTGACCCCAAGGAGATGCAACACAAGCATGTAAAATACCCACTACTGTTTGGGTGAAAAAGTTCAGCTCAGAGATAAATGCATTCCCTGAATGAAGAGTCTGACTGCTGGTTAAACTGGAAGGTGGGACAGGGGAGCAAGCTGATGTCAAAACTGCTTCAACAAGAAGTCGCATGGCATCTCTACTCTGGCTTAAGGAAATCGCTGTCCCTGCTGACTCACAGAAACCGTGCAGACGTCAGGATGAGGACAAGAAAGGCCGCACAGCAGTGTGGAGGGACATCTCACAGTGTCAGGTCTCAGGGAAAAGACAGAAGGGAAGGCGAGACAACACTACATAGAACCATGGGGGAGCTCTGAACACCATTGGGACAGCCATGAGGTGACCCTATAGGCTTTAAAAATTAACAAAGGCAGGGCCAGGCTCAGTGACTCAGCCTGTAATCCCAACATTTTGGGAGGCCGAGGCAAGTGGATTGCCTGAGTCTGCAGGTTCGAGACCAGCGTGGGCAACTTGGTGAGACCTCGTCTCCACAATAAATCAAAAATTAGCTGGGTGTGGTAGCATATGCCTGTGGTTCCAGCAACTTGGAAGGCTGAGGCGGAAGGATCGCTAGAGCCCAGCAGGTCGACACACTGCAGTGGCTGGAGTGTGCCACTGCACTCCAGTTTGGGTACCACAGTGAGATGCAAAAAAAAATTAACAAAGGCAGACTTCATCTGAGCTGTAAGAATCTGGTTCACAGCTGAGCTCGGTGGCTCAGCCTGTAATCCCAGCACTTTGGGAGGCTTAGGTGAGTGGACTGCTTGAGCCCGCGGGTTCAAGATCCGCCTGGGCAACTTGGCGAGACCTCATCTCTGCAATAAATCAAAAATTAGCCAGGCGTGGTAGCACACACCTGTAGCTCCAGCTACTTGGAAGGCTGAGGCAGAAGGATCGCTGGAGCCCAGCAGGTTGAGGCTGCGGTGGACAGGAGCGGCCACTGCACTCCAGTCTGGGCGACAGAGTGAGACTCCAACTCAAAAAAAAAAGAATCTGGTTCACACGCTAGGTGCAGTGTCTCACTCCTGTAACCTCAGTGCTTTGGGAAACCAATGAGAGAACCACTTGAGGCCAGGAGTTAAAGAGTGGACTGTGCAATACAGCCAAATCCCATCCCTACAAAACATTTTTTACAAAATTAGCTAGGCATGATGACACATGCTTGTAGTCCCAGCTAATGGGGAGGCTGAGACAAGAGGATGGCATGAGCCCAGAAGTTTGAGGCCACAGTGAGCTATGACCGTGCCACTGTACTCCAGCCTGGTAGCACAGCAATACCCTGTCTCTAGGAAAAGAAGCTGTTTCACAACTATGCTACTCCATGGCCTTCTGACAGGCCTGGCTTGCCTTTAAATGATCAAAACTGGCCGGATGCGGTGGCTCACACCTGTCATCCCAGCACTTTGGGAGGAGGAGGCAAGAGGATTGCCTGAGCCCAGGGGTTCGAGACCAGCCTGGGCAACTTGGCGAGATCTCGTCTCTATAACAAATAAAAAAAATTAGCTGGCATGGTGGTGCACGCCTGTGGTTCTAGCTATTTGAAAGTCTGAGGTGGAAGGATTGCCTGAGGCCGAGGCTGCGATGGTTGTGAGTGTGCCACTACATTCCAGCTTGGGTGACAGAATAAGACAAAGACTCAAAAAAAAAAAAAAATCAAAAACATACATGGTTACGAAAATTAACACATACTTCAAAAAAATCCCTCAAAGCTCATGCTATAGGTTAAAAGCTACTTACCTCCCCAGCATAAAATTAGGCTGACAAAGTTAACCTGGGCACACTGAGACCTCTCCTGGCACTGGGATGTGATCAGTAACCAGAAAAAGGCCTCGAGCAGGAGTGGTCGCCACGCCACGAGCAGTCTAGAGCTGTGCTCTGGCTGGGCGCTCTCACAAGGCACACTCCATGTCACCTCCAGACCTCCTGGTACTGAGAATCCAGGGACACGGCCCCCTGGTGACTTTCACTTTTCCTGTGTTCTCAACAGGTTCTGACCCCTTATTTCAAGCTCACACCACTCTACACAGACAGATGGTCCCCATGTCACCCGACAGCCCGTGTCGGACACCTGACACGTGTCAGAAAGAAGCCCAAACGCCTCAATCTGGTGAGGCAGCACCCACGGCTGGAAGGGCTCTTATTGACAACCAAAACCATCAAGAAAGGACATCTTATTTCTAAGTGCGTAGGACAGAGCAACAGCCGCGTGCACTTCTGCAAACTCACAGCCAGCTTCTCCTCCTCTTCGCCCTCGCTGTGCCACTCTGATTCTGCATCCGTCGGCTCCACGTCCCCAGTGACAAATTCTCTTCTCTGCAAGAAAGCGAGGCCTGATTAGAAACGTCAGCTGATTCAGAAACTCAAGAGTTAGGGTGGATTTATACATCATGTCTAGAAGACGTTTAAACTTGGTCATTTTGACGACTGCTAACTGACAGCAGATAGGCCAGGCTCTGCTGTTTGGCAGGTCAGGTGTCTCCAAGGCCCTGTTGGCTGAGATGTTTACAACTGACCACGGGTGTATCAGGATAAAACAGCACCTGAGTGGAGGTGCACCTGCACACATAACTTCTTAACAGAGCTCCCCACCTTGTCGAAGAGAGGCTGGTATAACGCTGCATACTTTCTTTCCAAGTCGTGAACTTCTTCATAGAACTTGGCTTCTATATGGGCACATCTCACTTGAAGTTGCTTCAATGCATTAATTCTTCTTTTCACGGCTTTAGGTAAACTAAAAGAGAGAACAGGAAATAAAACATCCCTATGCTTGCAAAATAAGGAGCATGCTTTCCAATTTTATTAAAATCAATTTAAGAAAACATAAGATCAGCCAGGTTCGGTGGCTCAGCCTATAATCCCGCGCCTTTGGGAGGCTGAGGTGAGTCGACTGCCTGAGCCCATGGGTTCGAGACCCGCCTGGGCAACTTGGCGAGACCTCATCTCTACAATAAATCAAAAAATTAGCTGGGCGTGGTAGCGTGCGCCCGTAGTTCCAGCTACTTGGAAGGCTGAGGCGGAAGGATTGCCGGAGCCCAGCAGGTCGAGGCTGCGGTGGCTGGGAGCAGCCACTGCACTCCAGTCTGGGTGACAGAGTGAGACTCCGACTCAAAAAAAAGAAAACATAAGATCAACATCCTTACTCTGAAGAAGAGCTCCTAAAAATCACTAAAAAAAAGAACAAACACCCCAATAGGAAAACAAAGGGGCACGGAGGATGCTGAAAAGGTGATCCACAAAAGAAAAACAAACCATCAAATAAGAAAAAAGAATCTCATAAAACATCCAAGAGAGCAAATTCATAAGAACTCATCTTTTTCTTACCAGACTGGCAATTAAAAACCAAACAAAACACCTAGGTCTTATGAGGCTGAGGGCAAAACAGCCCTCTAACAGACTTGTCTTTCCTGAGGGCAGAGGAAACACTGCAAATGTTCTTTGGATCTAGTCATTTGACCTCCAAGAATTTATCCTTAGGAAAGACCAAATATTTATGCTGAGGTGTCCGCTAACAGATTGTAAAAGTGAACAAGTGGAAACAACGGCAAGCCGAACAGTACTCAACCATGGCCTGGTCAAAATCATGCTGCCAGTGACTTGGTGCCACGTGAAGTCCTCACGCTACCACCGAGGGAAGAATTTGGGAAACAGACAACACAGATTTGTTCTCTTCAAGAATCAGATCACCCGTGAGTTTCCTCGCCTTCCAGTTCTGTTCTGTATTTTAAAACATATTTAGTTTATATGCATTACTTTTCTAAATCAGAAGAAAAACCCGTTTTTAGTCCATCAACACAATTTGTTTAAAATAAAGCCCTCGTGTGCAACCCTGTGGAACAAAGAGCCCATTCCTGACCTCATTAAGGACCCAAACAGTGGACAGGGGCTGGGGCCTGCGTTTGAATACCTGTCCACGTGACCTGCCGTCTGGAAGTGCAAAGCCAGCACTGGTCTAAGCACTTCGCTTATCCTCCCACAATACACAGCACAGAGCAACAGGCCACTCACACACACCATGGCTTGGAAAGTGCTAGAACAAATGCCTCCAGTCACAAAGGACTGCTGTTCCTGTGATTCACGCCCAGGGCTACTTCAAGCTAAAGGTCCTCAAGCAAAGACTCTCACCGGCGGTGAACATTCTAGAACCACCACTCGCAGAAGAGAACCAGGGGAAAGCAGAGTCAGAATGCACCAATACGGTAGACACAGTGACGTGCGTAGCTCTTCTCTACATTAATGACACACTTTTAAGTGAGTTTTTTAGTTTCTGAAATCTTTCGACTGGAATGAAAGGACAAAACCAACTGACCCCGGTGGCCCCGCCAGTCCTCTGACCACTCATGCCGCCCTGCCCAGAAGGCACTCCTGCACTGTGACCAACGGGGAACCACTTCTAGCCCCAAAGGCCCGGGCCCACACCCCAGCTCCTCTCCGTGAAAACCACCCTGTGCGCCCAGTTGCTAAAGCCAGAACACTGGAGACCATCACTCCCTTCAACTCCTGCCACCCCACTCACTACCACCACCGTCTGCCATGTCTGCAAAGACACACGTGCTAAAACCTTACCCACTAAGTTATCCCCAGAGAACCTTCTGTGGAGGCCAAAACAGCTGCTCCGAGATGCACACTGCCGTGCTGGCTTCCCATAACCCAGGCTCGGGAGGGCCACCAAGATTTCTCCTTCAGTTACTGTCCTTGTGGAAGAGCAGGCCCATGGGTCACACAGCCTGGGTGCGACAGTACTTCAGCTCTTCCACACATCCTTCTGAACCACCTTTCCCTATGGTCTGGGGGTAACAGCGTGGGATTCATCATCTTGTCCTGTCGCCGCCCAAGACACCAACACAGCTTCTGTTCCTAAGTCCCTACCTTTTTTTTTTTTTTTTTGAGGCGGATTCTCAGTCTGTCACCCAGGCTGGAGTGCAGGGGCACACTCACGGTCACAGCAGCCTTGACCTGCTGGACTCAGGTTTCCGCCTCAGCCTTCCAAGTAGCTGGAATTACAGGTGCACTCCACTATACCTGGTTAGTTTGGTTTTTTTTTATCATAGAGATGAGATCTCACCAAGTTGCCCAGGCTGGTCTCGAACCCGTGAGCTCAGGCAATCCCCTCACCTCAGCCTCCCAAAGTGTTGGGATTATAGGCGTGAGCCCTACTAAATGCTTCTTTATGAGAAACTGGATCCGTTAGCCTTGGTCTTAGGCCTCTTGGCTTCCTCAGACCTTCGGGAGTAGGTAAGCATAGGCCTGTCCACCAGAGAACACCTTCTCAGTACAATGGCATGCAAACCCCAAATATGCCCCCTCATTACAATAGACCTGAGTGGGAAAGCCAGCGCAGAGGCGGGCCCTCCTGTGAGACGGAGCCCTGGCCTAACTGTAGACAGAAGCCCAGTAACAGCTCATGTCCTCCAGAAGGAAGACAGGCCGGCTCTGACAAGCGCCGCCCTCGGGTCCCAGGACAGGGACCTCACCCCGCAATCCACCGCGGACACAGGACTCTTGCAAAAAAGCCAAGGTGCTGGGGGCCCAGGCTCAGGAATGTGAGCCAGGGAGGACAGCTTCCCTTGGGAGCCACCCCTGTCCTCCCTGCCTCAGAAAATCTGTGAAGTCCTCTAGACTGCCGCAGGATGGCACTGTGCACTTCTAGTGGGCAACCCAACATGCCACATTACTCCACCAGACAGACTCCAAGCCCACGCACAGTGCAGGCCAAACCTGCGAGATAAAAGGCTAATATCCTCGCTCTCAGGAACTGGGAAATGGGTTTTCCTTTGTTCTTTTGCTTCTTCGAGTTGCATCAGGCCCCACTTACGTTTCGATGTAGCTGGAAGGCGTGTGAGAGACATCGTCGAGTCGCTCCTGTAAAGCCGCCAACACTTGAGGGTTCTGCATTACCTGATCTGCGAGCTTTTCTGTGAAGAGTGAAACACAAGACCAAAAATATTTAGTGTGTGCCCACCACACAACAGCCAGGAGTTGAAAATTAACACGGGATCTACCTAGTTTTGGTACCCAAAGTGCATTTTAAAGGCATTTAACACTGTGCCACCACCTGCTGGGTGGCTGCCTGTCTCTGAAGAAACACCCAGAGGTGTTAGGCTGCAACCTCACAACTAAGGATTCATTAACTGCTAAGCTCAGGTGGTCTGTCTCCGGGGTCCTCACCTCTCCCCAAGTCCCAAGTGGTGTCCAGAAGCTGAGGCAGGAATGAATCGGTCCCTCAAAGCACAAGTGTCCACAGGTGCCTTTGCTCATGACAGTGCCATGAACTTCCCAGCCCAGAAGAGCCTGCCATTCACAGGCGCCCTCATGGCACTGCCCCTTCACATGTTCTTCGCACACGCTGCTCACTCCTGCCTCAAATGTCTCCTGCCCAAACCCACCTCCTCCAGGAAGCACTCCTGACTATCCCGCTCCCCTTACAGCTTCCCCACATCTGAACTGAGCATGCAGCCCTAAGCTGCATGCATTTACAAGCCCATTTCTCAGTAAACCAATGAGACCCTGCAAGGGTAGTGACTTTCTCTCCACTTTGACTAAGGAGTGGTTTAACACCTGGCTCATGACAAAGACTCTTAACAACTTCCCTCTGAAGAGCACAATAAAGAAATCCACACCCAGTGTCCTTCCTTGACTCGCGTGTTCTCCCTTGATGTGGCCAAGCCAAACAACCAAGTGGGCACCCAAATTAACATAGAGAACTGCAAACACACAACTCTGACACAAAGCCCTGCATTTACTGTAAACAATTTGCATGCTTAAAACTATGTATACATGTGCCATATGTAAACACTGCATGTAGACACAAACATACATCTCTTCTAGCTCTGTCTACTGATAGGGCCTAGGACAATGACACCTAGCATCTATATTTCGGTTTTTAAATGTCTTTCCCCATTAAAAGGAACAAGATTTCTTGGCTAAATGGTGCATCCCAAGTCTGGGGCATGGAGAACTCAAGGTAAGATGGATATCATCCTGTGCTACAAAGCCAAAGATGCACAAAACTCAAGAGTAACGAGGACTTAGAGGCACGCCTAAAGTGACTCCCACTGGCCAAATGGGACAATTTGCACAGCAGAAAGAAGCATGATGGCAACTGATAACACACTGAAAAAGAAAAAGAGGCTGGATGAAGTGGCTCATGCCTGTAATCCCAGTACTTTGGGAGGCCGAGGTAAGAGAACTACTTGAGCCCAGGAGTTCAAGACCAGCCTGAGCCACACAGTGAGACTTGTCTCTACAAAAAAATTTTTAAAATTAGTAGGGTGTGGTAGTGCACACCTGTAGCTCCAGCTACTCGGGAGGCTTAGGTAGAAGGATCACTTGAGCCCAGGAGGTTGAGGCTACAGGAAGCCATGATCATGCCAATGTACTACAAACTGGGCAAACCAATGAGACTGACTCAAAAAAACAAACAAGCCGGGCTCGGTGAAACTGGGCAAACCAATGAGACTGACTCAAAAAAACAAACAAGCCGGGCTCGGTGGCTCAGCCTGTAATCCCGCCCCTTGGGAGGCTGAGGTGAGTGAATTGCCTGAGCCCGTGGGTTCAAGACCCGCCTGGGCAACTTGGCAAGCCTTCATCTCTACAATAAATCAAAAAATTAGCCGGGCATAGTAGCACGCGCCTGTAATTCCAGCTACTTGGAAGGCTGAGGCGGGAGGATCGCCGGAGCCCAGCAGGTTGAGGCTGCGGTGGCCAGGAGCGGCCACTGCACTCCAGTCTAGGCGACAGAGTGAGACTCCAACTCAAAAAAAACCAAAAAAACCCAAACAAATAGACAACAATTAGCCGAGTGCAAGGTTTGGCGTGGTGGTTCAGCCTGTAATCCTAGCATTTTGGGAGGCCAAGGCAAGAGGACTGCCTGAACCCAGGGGCTGGAGACCAGCCTGGGCAACTTGGTGAGACCTTGTCTACACAATAAATCAAAAATTAGCCAGGCATGGTAGCATGCACCTGTAGTTCTGGCTACTTGGAAAGCTGAGGAGGAAGGATCCCCTGAGCCCAGCAGGTCGACGCTAAGGTGGCAGTAAACATGCCACTGCACTCTAGCCTGGGAGAAACAGTGAGACCCTTAGACTCAAAAAAGATAATAATAAAATAATTGACAAGTCTATAGTGACACTAAAATAAGGGGAGCAGGATTGGGAGGATCAGAAAAACAGCCCTTTGCAAGTACCATGTCATGACTTGATCAGGCAAGGACTGTCAGGGGGCGTGAAAGTCCCCTGAAGGAAGAAAGGACAGTCACCATGCCAGGCAGACTGCTCGCCAGGTCAGCGAACTCTGCCGGCAGAGAAGTCTGGCACACACTGTCTTAGACGGGTCATCAGTCTCAGTGTCCCCAGGCCATGGCCTGCCAGTACTATGTGCCTCCCAACGCAGTGCCCACTGCTTCACAACATCACCTGTGTGCCCTTCTTGCCAAATGTCTACCCTAAACTCACCAGGAGGAGACAACCAGGCACACCCAGATGGGGGGGGATGATGATGATGATATTTTACAAGACAGGTGTGGCCAGAGTGCTCAAACAGCACAAGGCAATGAGAGACAAAAAAGGTCAGTAAGTGAAGCTAGAACAAGGAGACAGAACTAAATAGAATGTGTGATCCTCAACCAGATCCCAGGTTGGAGTGGGGGGTAAAAGAATTGCTGGGAAAGCCAGGGAAATACGAACATGACTGTACACGAGAACCTAGTACTGTCAAGCTTCTCGGCTGCAGTAATGGCATCTTGGTTCTAAGAATTCATTCTAGTTTTTAGGAAACTTACACTTAACTGTTTTAGGGAAAAAAGGAATATCCACAATTTGCTTTCAAACAGTTCAGGGGGAGTACAGATATACTGCTTTTCTTTTGATTTTAATGAGGGAAAAATATCGCATCTGTGAAAGTATGGGCAAAAAATTATGTATCTGGGATTTACTTCAAAACAACCAGAGGAAGCAAAGTTAAGAGTTTAGAGGAAAAAAGAACAGCCAAGTGTGTTGGCTCACACCTGTAATCCTAGCTACTCGGGTGGCTGACATATAAGGATTGCTTGAGCACAGGAGTTCAAGAACAGCCTAGGGAACACAGTGAGACCCCATCTCAAACATAAAATAAGAAAAAAGACTGCCCCCTTGTCCATCCTAAGCCAGGTGATGGCAGGTGTAAGGATACACACTAGCACTGCTCTCTCTCCTCTGTAGACTCTGAACTTCCTATAATACCAAGATAGTGACTTTCATTTTCATCATTCTAGCTTTCCCCAAATCACTGAGGCCAGCAATCCTTCACCTGTATTATTGTACAATACATGGCTCCAGAAAGCAGGCTACCCCTGTCCCGCGTGCAAACTCTCCAACGTTAGTTTCATGGGCAGCCAACTGACCTGTATTACTTGCATTTTTAGCAGCTTCCGCGGACTCTGAAGGAACCCCATCTGAAAAACTAAAACAGTACGTTTAGGAGTATTATTGTAAAAAAAGTTCCACAAAGAATGTAAATGGGCATTTTTCTTCCTTCTTAACAGATCAAGAGGTGACAGTGACTTTAGGTTTAGGTTGGAGCAGAAGGGAACGACTGATGTGCACGTGTCGAGAGACACTCTGCTCTCTGACATGATCAAAGCAAACATCCTACCGCTGAACATTTCCCCACCCATCCACTACCACACACGCTCCCTACAAAGGTCCTATTTCCCTAGGCTATTTGGCTTTCAGTTCTGCAACTTCTTTCTCCAAAAACTCTGCTCCCAGCCCTCAGGCCAAAACGATCAACCCACAAGTTGCTGCTTGGTCAGCAGCTCACACCATGGAAGCTAAGCCAGTGCCCACAGGGGCTTCGGAAAGCCAGCCATGCAGTATCTAAAAACAGCAAAACCAGGAAAATAGGTCTAACAGTTTCCAAAGATGCTGGGACACACCACGCCCCTCACCAATGGACATCCAATAACATACACAACTGAAAGTGGCCCTCAACCCACGAAACAACACTTTCCACCTGCCCACTGGGGATTACAGCATGTCAGCATGGCATCAGTGACACTTCACTGTGGGGGTGTAAAAGCCTGGAGAGCAGAAAGACTGCCTTCCATAAAAGGCTGGTGAGTTATCAACATCTGAAAATGTTCGGTGTTGAGCAACTGCTTCATGGGCTCAAATACACTCACAAGGAGCCCTCAGTTGAAGCCTGAAACGTACTAAACTCTGCATCCAGCAATGTTTACTGGAATGCCTGCTGCCCTCGCCGAATCTCACACTCCGATGAGCAAAGTCTGTCTGGCTTACCTGTTATCTGCCATCTGAATGATCTTATGCCCTACAAACGAAAAAGAGTTGCAACAATTAAATTCACAAACAAAAATATTGTTCAATGTACTTTTAACAATGAATGCCCACTCAACAGTGTCTATAAGCAGCAGCAGGAGGGAACCTTCTGGAGTCCGGAAAGGTTCTAGACCTTGACTGAGATATACATGTTTGTCTAATCTATTATGTACGTTATACACTTAGGATCTGTGCGTTTCATTACATGTAAATGTGACTCATAAAAATGCCTCTTATTGGGAAGTAAGATGAACAAACTTCAGAATAAGATAAACTCTAATCTGCTTTATCTCAACAGTAAACTTCGGCAACAGAAACATATTAATGGAAACCCAACTATATCAGAGTAACTCAATGCATTTTTTTTAAAGCCAGTGTCTCATTCTATAGCCCAGGCTGCAGCCCAGTGGTGCGATCATAGCTCACTGCAGCCTCAACTCCTGGGCTCACGCAATCGTCCCGCCTCAGCCTCCTGAGCAGCCAGCGTGCCTAGCAAGTAAATGTTTTTTTGTAGAGACCAGTTCTCCCTGTGCTGCCCAGGCTATTCTCGGACTCCTCAAGTGATCCTTCTGCGTTGGCCTCCCCAGAGTGCTAGGATGACAGCACATGACCTCCTTTACTGGTGTTTACAGTTTTTTCAAACTAACCCACATGATGATTTTCTAACTGTGTTTGTTTATCCTGTCTTCTATTACTTCCACACTGAAGATGTGCTGCTTGTATAAAAACATTATGTAATATACTCAGTATGAGCCTAGTTTTAAAGACATATATCAGAAAGCATTAGCTCAGCATGTGGGGAGACCAAAGCTTGAGATCAGGAGTTCAAGACCATCCTGGCCAATATAGCGAGCCTCTGTCTCATAATAAAAAATGGTAAAAGGCAACATAGCAAGACCTCATCTCTACCATAAAATAGAATAAAACAAAATAAAATAAAAAACTCAGCCAGGCCAGGTGCAGTGGCTCAAGCCTATAATCCCAGCACTTTGAGAGGCCGAAGTGAGAGGACTGCCTGAGTCCAGGGGTTCGAGATCAGCCTGGGCAACTTGGCAAGACCTCGTCTCTACAATAAATAAAAAAAATTAGTTGGGTGTGGTAGCACGCACCTATAGTTCTGTCTACTTGGAAGGCTCAGGTGGAAGGCTCGTTGGAGCCTAGCTGGTCGACACTGGGGTGTGGGCTGTGAGTGTGCCACTGCACTTTAGCCGGGGTGACTGAGTGAGACTCCAACTCAAAAAAAAAAAAGTCCTTACGTGTAAAATAAAACTAAAATGTAGCAAATACGCCTGAGAGCTTCCCTGCAGGGCTGCCCCACTGAAAGCTAGCCAAGGCTCCATTCTTAGGTATCTGAGCAAAGTTTTAGGGAGAAACAACAACAAAAAGTCTCTGTATTTAAGGAAAACAGCTCCAATTAGAACTTATAGTCTACAGTTGTTTTGTATTTAACTACATTTCCTTTTTATTAGGCTTTTATTGTTTTAAAATAAGACATGCTAATTATCTTTACAATTCAAAATATTATATAAGTATTACATCATCTTTTTCAAGAATACTACATTATTTGTTTTAATGAAGCAGATGAAACTGGAAAAAAAGACAGTACACTCTGCAATGGCCGGCTCCGCCCACCACTGCCACGCCCCTGCCCTGCCCCACGAGGCTTTCAGAAACCCTTCAGCGTCCCTACCGCCTCCCACAGACCCGTGTTCCTGCCCGGTCTACTCGCTATGCTCATGCCAGCGCCCGTGGCCTTGCCAAGTCTGCTGTGGTCACAGTGCCTGGAGTTCAGGGTCTGCTTTCCCTCATCTTAGAAACACAAGTACAGGATGGCCAGGCCCCGGGACATGTGTGCAATGGCAACTTCCTAAGCGCCAACACACTCGCTAACTACCAGTCGTTAAATGCCAGAGTGGGATTTTCCTATTATGGACCCTGGAGAATGTCTCCGTGATCGTCTTGGCTTGCGTGGCTTCCCGCCCCCGAGTCATTCTTCATTTACTCGGCAAGGGATTGCTATGAGAGGCCTGCTAGGTCACACTATGAGCAGATCTTGATTCAGCCAAAGTGATATCAACTACAACTTGGCTACTTAATTAAAGCTCTCCGTCCTCCACATATATACCTCACAGCACCTTCCCTAGACCCCACACTTAACTGCTGAAAGGAGCCCGTGGCCCAGAACCAGCTATCACTGACAGTTTAACGGACAGACTCTCATTTTCACCACCTAGTCAGTATAATACCCAGTCAGCCACAAACTTAATTTCCAGCATCTCCTATATTAGCAAGGGACCCACGTGGCAGGCACTTCCTACATTTTATATTCACATCAACTTGACCAGGAGAGACTATCCTCAGATTACACAAAAAGAAGCCAAGGCCTGGGTCTCAAATCTAGGTCCTCTGACCTTTCCCCATCATCACCAGTCACTTAACTTCTTGCTGCTCCCACCTGCTCGATGAAAGATGCCGCTGGGCCGGGCTCAGTCTGTCATCCCAGCACTTTGGGAGGCCGAGGCGAGTGGACTGCCTAAGCCCGCGGGTTTGAGACCAGTCTGGGCAACTTGGCAAGACCTCATCTCTACAATTAAAAAAAAAATAGCCGGTGTGGTAGTACGGGCCTATAGTTCTGGCTACTTGGAAGGCTGAGGCAGAAGGATGGCCAGAGCCCAGCAGGTTGATGCTGGGGCGGCTGTGAGCGTGCCACTGCACTCTAACCTGGGCTAGAAGAGTGAGACTTCAATTCAAAAAACAACAAAAAAGACACTACTGCTGTCAGATAGACTGCTGGACAGACCAGCAACAGCTCAGCCAAGGCCTCTTGCTGTTCTACGGCCTCTCCCAGAAACCCACCGTGTCTAGAAAACACCCCCCCTACCCTGTTCACTATGTAGTCAGAGCCCAGAACAGCTCCCGGCACAGTAATAATCTGTTGGATGCATAAACAACCAATTTCAGGACACAGCCAGAAGGGTTCACCTTCCCAAGGGCACCTATTCCAACCTGACGGATGACCAGATTCCATGGATACAATGACTGGCTTCGTCTTCATTTATGTGAAGGCATATGCTCCTTAACACGACTGCTAGTGAGATGACAAGGCAGTCAAGCTACACCTGACACAACAGTCCCGAAAGGAGAAAAAAGGGCTAAATCAAGGACGGAGCAAGAAAAGCAAAGTGATGAACTTAAACAATGGGAAAGAAAACAATTCTGAGAACTGAAAAGCAACAACAAACCAATCCAGTACACAACACATGAACCATGTGGCCACAGTGAACAAGCCCATTTTTGCTGAGGGTGTGAAGCTTGCCCGACTCCCTCGCAGCCCCACCTTTCTCTGCCCCCAATCTCACCACCCATCAACAGGACTACCCCAGAGGCCGTGACGAAGACGGTGCCTTGGACATGCGGCAGGACGGGTCTCTGTCCACTTGCATAATCATTACTCACACATTAGACCATCCTGTTTGCTTGCTAGGAAACTGACACGCCGCGTTGCTTGAAAGACTGCACCCTTCATAGGGGTGGAGTACTCCCTTATCTGCAACACTTGGGACCAGAAGCATCTTGGATTTTGAAATATTTCCAAACGCGTGATGCACTACCTTGGGGATAGGAACCACATCTAAACACGAACTTCCTTTGTTCCATACACCCTTTAGACACAGCATAAAGGTAACTGCATGCACTATTTTTAATAACGGTGAGCATGAACCACAGTACGGATCACATTTTGACTGTGATACATCACATGAAGTCAGGTGTGGGGTTTGCCACCTGAGGCATGGTCATGTCAGTGCTCAAACAGTTTTTGATTGGGGGGCATTTCAGATTTTTGGATTTAGAACACTCAAAACTGTGTAAGGAAAAACGATGCAGAGTGGTGACATCATAAACAAGGAGTTCAGTTAGTCATGTTTCATTGCCACAAACTACTTTTAACAATCTCCAACACTGTTAAAATAGAAAGTCATAAGAAACTATCAAATTTACAGATTTAAGAAAAAATATCCATTTGTTTTACATGTTGGTAAGCTGAGTTTAATGTAAGTTTTATGAAACCACAGTCCAAAGTCTCATCTGGAAAGTTCTCCCACTTATTATCTATTTAGAGATAGGGTCTCACTCTATTACCCAGACTGGGATGCGGTGGCACGATCTCAGCTCCAGCTCACTGTGTAGCCTTGACCTCCTGGACTCAGATGATCCTCCCATTTCAGCCTAGGACTGCAGGGGTGCGACACCACGCCGGGCTGATTTTTTGTTTTGGTGGAGACACGGTCTCACTATGTTGCCCAGGCTGGTCTGGAACCCCTGGGCTCAAGCAATCTTCCCACCTCAGTGCCCCAAAGTGCTGATATGACAGGTGTCAGTCACTATGCCTGGCCTAGTTCTCCCACTTTTAAAAGGCAATGGAGAGACCTACTGTGCAACATGGTGACTGCAGTTAATCACAATGTATCACAGACCTGAAAGTCACTGAGAGTAGATTTTAAGTGTCCCTCCCCTCCAAAATAAGTGCATGAGGTAATATGGTCATTACCTTGATTTAGCCATCCTACAACATATACTTACTTCAAAAACATCACCTTATACACCAAGCATACGTATAATTATCTGTGAATTTTAAAATAAGTTAAAAATAAATAAAAAGTAGTTAAATTATGAAAGAGACATAGGCAAAAGAATATTTCAAGTTTTCAAAAGGCAGCTTCTCACCCAGAGTAAAAACATTTCATTCTAAATTTGTTTTTGTTTTTTTTTCCAGTTGGAGTCTCACTCTGTCGCCCAGACTGGAGTGCAGTGGCTGCTCCTGGCCACCGCAGCCTCCACCTGCTGGGCTCCGGCGATCCTTCTGCGTCAGCCTTCCGAGGAGCCGGAACTACGGGCACACGCTACCACGCCCGGCTGATTTTTTGATTTATTGTAGAGATGAGGTCTCGCCAAGTTGCCCAGGCGGGTTTCGAACCCGCGGGCTCAGGCAATTCACTCACCTCAGCCTCCCAAGGCGCGGGACTATAGACTGAGCCACCAAACTCGGCTTCTAAGTTCATTTTAACTGGAGTCTCACTCTTGTTGCCCAGGCTGGAGTGCAGCGGCATGCTCATGACTCACTGCAGCCTCTCTACCTCCCGGGTGCAGGCGTTCCTTCCCCCTCAGTCTCCTGAGGAGCTGGGACTACAGGCGTGCCTGGCTTATTTTTTGTAGAAACGAGGTCTTGCTATGTTGCTTAGATTGGTCTCAAACTCTCAGGCTCAAGCAATCCCTCTGCCTCAGCCTCCCAAAGTGTGGGATTATAGGTCTGTAACTCTAAATCTGGACTGTTTCTGAGATCACACAAATGTTCTGCTTTTATTTATGTAAGATACCATAACAATTCTATTTATGTATTAATCTCTCTTACCCCTGAACAAAAAAAACTTTTCATGGGGAAAATTTTTCATTTTTTGGTAGTAAATTATCTATTATAACTATAAATTCCTAGTTTTTAACTAAAAACATTTAGTCTATAGCTAGGGTTAAGTAAGTAGTTTAACAGTGGAACATTTTTGAGAGACAAAGGAATAAGATGGGGGTGTGGCCATACACTTCACAAAATCAAAATTTTATAATACATGTACTATGCCTTAATAAGGTCAAAGGTCACCCATCTTTTCATGAGATAGCTAAATAACTTAAGGTAAATGTAATTAACGTTTTTACAAGACTCCTTAGAATTTCCTTATATCCCATAAACTCTAAAGTATGCTGGACACGGTGGCTCACGCCTGTAATCCCAACATTTTGGGAGGTGAAGGCAAGATGATTGCCTGAGCCCATGGGTTCAAGATCAGCCTGGGCAACATGGTGAGACCTCGTGTCTACAATAAACCAAAAAACTAGTGGGGTGTGGTGACACAGGCCTGTAGTCCCAGCTACTTGAAGGCTAAGGTGGAAGGATAGCCTGAGCCCAACAGATTGAGGCTGCAGTGGCCGTGAGTGTACCATCGCACTCATGCCTAGGCGACAAAGAGTGAGACTCCAACTCAAAAAAAAAAAAAACAAGCATAATAACTTCAGGCTAGCCAGGCACGGGTTGCTGGACCCCAAGAGTTCAAGATCAGCCTAGGCAACATGGCGAGACCTACAATATATCAAAAAATTAGCTGGGCATGGTGGTGCACACCTGTAATCCCAGCTACTTGGGACGAGGAGGTGGGAGGATTGCTTGAGCCCAGGAAGTCAAGGCTGCAGGGAGCTGTGGTGGGACCACTGCACTCCAGCTGGAGTGACAGGGTGAGACTTCAATTCAAAAATAAAGAGATAAATAAAGAAGGAGCTTGAAAAAACAAAACAAGTCCCATGAACACAGGGACCCGCTCTATTTTTTGGCACAGGGCTTGGCATGAGATAGGCTGCCAGGAAATCTGCTTCACTGATTCCCTGCTGTTGAGGGACAGTTTGCCTGTGAGTCAACTGTGAGCCACAGGGAGTCGGGGCCCAACGCACACCTTGCCAAACCGAGCAGTTTCTGAAGACACAAGTAGAGACACTTCTCTAGTCTTGTTTGCTACAAGGTCTAGGAAGTAACTACCAGCCAACAGAGGACCACCTCTTCAGATCTGCCTGAGGCCAAGCCCCAAGGTCTCAGGAAGAAAGGAACAAGCGATTTCCCTTTCCCAGCGGGAACAGGAAAGCCCGACTCTCAGCCAGGCCCAGGGTCCTCCTCCTCTCCTCCACTCCCCTTCTGGCAGTTCCTTAGTCCATGAGTGATAGCCCAGGATGCACGCAAGGATCTCGTCCCTTTCTTGCCAACCTAGCTGGAACCAGGCCCGCTGAAGTCCCGGTCCCTCTCCACGATGCTTCTCAGAGGCACCGGCCCCATAGACTTGCTGGTCTGTCTCCCACGACTGAAACCAGGGCATGGGTTTCGGTCTGTTTGGCTCGGTGAGAGGCCAGGGACCTAGAACTGTGCCCGGCACACACGAGGCGCTCATGAATAAATAAAGAGATGCAAATCACAGAGCCACTTTGCAGCAGCTGAGTAAACAAACTGTGTAGCCCAGGCACTTGTAGCGAACAGCCCTTCTTCCCACCACACGACCATTAAGCAAAAACGGCCCCTTCGTGCTTTTGAACAGGCTTTTCGGGGAATCATTAAACGACAGCAACATGTTGTAAACGTCCTAAGCACATTCAGCTGTAGCAGCTGACAGAGCGCACTGCCGAGGAGGAGGGGAAAGGAAAGGCTGTGCACCGGTGTCAAGATCAAAAAGCCACGTTCACAAAGAGCTCTTTCGGCGCGGGCATGCTACAAAACTACAACGCCTCTCCTGTTACCAAACTCACAGAGGCAAAACTCCACGCCAAACAGGGCAAAGCAGCCCCGCCTTCTCCCAAGAGGGCAGGGTGGGAGACCCGCACACACAACGTCGCCACAGAATCCCTCGCTGGGGTTCAACAGTCCAACACACACGCTCCACTACCGGCCCATCAGGAAGGGCTGTCCACCACTGCGCACCCCCGCAGCCATGCAGGGAGGTCCCAAGGACGCAGGCTGGGGCCAGTTGTTGCTTCCCACAGGGTCAGCCACTTCCCAGCACAGCGTGGTCCGGGCGTTCACTCCCCTGTAAGTTACACCTTTCCCGTAAGCAGAGGAAGCCTGGCCAGCACCTGAGCCCAAGTCCCCAACAAGTCGGCACGCTCACTTCTCGGGTACAGGCTGTGGTTGGGAAGATGGTTCAGGCAGGAACGCCTCCTTACCTCACACAGGTGAGGACCCTTCTGCCCGCAGGACTGTACCCATCACCTTGCCCCCAAGATATTTTTCCTCCAAAACAAATCAGTTGGTTTTTTTTGGAGTTGGAGTCTTACTCCATCGCCCAGGCTAGAGGGCAGTGGCACACTCAGAGCCACTGTGGCCTTGACCTGCTGGGCTTAGGCGACCCTTCCATCTCAGTCTTCCAAGTAGCTGGAACCACAGGCATGTGCCACCACGCCCAGCTCATTTTTTGCTTTACCATAGAGATGAGGTTTCACCAAGTTGCCCAGGCTGGTCTTGAACGCCTGGGCTCAGGCAATCCTTTCGCCTCTGTTCTTTGGCAAAACTGTCAAAAACACAGCACAAAACTTACCACACCGCCTTTAAACCAGACAACTAAAGGAAAGGCAGAAAATCACCGCCAAAAATGGTTTTCAACGCCATCACATACACATGTTTAGTCCCCTCCTCCTGGTTCTAGAAAACATCAGCTGCTCAAAAGAAAAGCGCAATGAAGATTTCACCCCAGATTCTCAGCTGGGAACGGCTAATACAGGGCTTAACATGCTTCAATAACAAGAGGCTACTAAAAACCCGGCTTCAACTGCAAACTCAGGCTGGAGAGCGGTGACACACATCCCACCTCCCGTTCCTCACCCTGTGAAACACGGCCTGCCTCAGCCAGGCACATGGCCCTAAGCTCCAAACTCCATGGAGGAGTCTGATCGCCTCAAGGCGGATGCACAAAACACCACGTGCTGCACATTCCAGGACAACCTCCCAAACACACAAAGCCATTTCAGAACTCAGTTTACCGAGACTGTCCAGTCTGAAAATGATAAAACTGAAAAATCCAGTCAGTCTCTCCAATCACTATCCTACATTCGCTTTGAACAGCAGTACAGGACTCAGAGCATAGCACCAAAACTCACAGAAAAGCAGCTGCGATCTTGCGACACCCAGGCACCAGCAACCGCACACGCTCCAAACCCACACCACTGCCGACCAGGGAGAGGACGACTGCAAGAAGTGCCGGAAGAGCGACTCCCGACAGCAGAACATGCTAAGAGGGCCCAAGTCACAGGAGGCCTCACGCTCCAGCGAGCATGTCTGCTAGTGACCACTGGCTACCGACCTCTAACCCACCCCCATTAGTCCCCTGCTTAGTCTGTCCGACCCCATCACCTCCCCCCTCCCTCGTGGGAAGCTCACCTTGCCTTGGGACATCACCAACCGCTGCTCACCCCTACTGTGGGGCACCGGACTGCGAGACACAGCACTCTCCTGGCCCTCGTTAGCCCTAGCCTGGCCACGGAGGCCGACCTCTGGTCAGAGCCTCCCCCACCGCCTCTCCAGGCGCAGCTCAAGCTGCCCGGGAGCCCATCCAAACTCATCACCTTGACAAGTTTCACACTCCACCTCGGGGCCTCGGTTCCGAGGAGGAAGCATGGGAAAGCAGGAGCGCCTTTCTCCCGGGTCGGATCATAACACGGGCGGCTGCAGGAGGGAGCGTTCCCCCCACCCAGGAGAAGAGGATTGCCCTCTCCGAGTGCAGAG